GCGCGTCGGTGTCGGCGCGCGGTCCATGCGGGTGGCAGATACGCGCACGCCGCCCTTGGGCGTCGGGTATATACGCGCCGCGGCGGGGCTCCGTCGGCACAGCTTCGCCATGCACCGCTCAACAGCCCTCGCCTGCGCCCTCGTGCTCGCCCTCGCATGCTGCGCCGCGCCGGCCTCCGCCCTGGACGCGCCCGCCCCGCCGCCACCGGTAAGGCTCACTGTTCTCTCATGAGGTTGTGGACATCGAGTATTTAGGCTCTACAATTTGCTATTTTGGACGCGAAAAATAGGTTCTTGAATGGACGAATACAGGCCGCATTCATTTCATTTTATATTAACTTGTTTTATTAAAATCATTGTAAAATATCAAAGAAACAATTCCATGATTGCAGGATAAAATTCCTGAAATCCTTAACTGGGCCTATCAACTTAACTTTTACCCTGCGCCATCAGAACTATAGAAATGTAAATGCTAAAACCGCTCTGATGATTGCCACTGAATTATTCTAGACGCAGAAAATGATCTATTTCATGACCGGTACTTACAAGTTATGATATTGCTAGTGAAACTGCTTTCATAATTGATTCTTTTGAGGCCATGCACGTTCAGGGAAAATCTGCAATTGTATTCAATATACATTTCAACCTTTTTTATTATATTCTTCCTGGGATTGCTTTAGTTTAAGTTTCACAGGGCGAAAAGGAATTTTTAGACTTTACTAGTGAAAAATAATTTATGCACTATAAATCTGGTTTTATGATATTGTGTAGTCAAGAAATATTCAAAACTAAATCTTCAAAAGCAGTTATATAGAATTTGTCTGAAAATCTTAAATTTAATCACGAGGTCCGCAGTAATTGTTCTACCTACAATTATTCAGTCACCACCTTGATTTACTTCAATTCAAAGATCAGATATACTGCGGCACAAACCATCGTCCTTTTCAGATAGACAACATTAGAAATACAGTATTTTGAGAAAAGGAAAGAATGTGAATATTTCAAATAATAAAGTTCTCAGAACTGACAATAATTTTGTCATTTTGTCGAATTTCCCTCTTGGTTGTAATGCGGCTTGAAATATTATGAAAGTCATAATTTAAATATTTGTTAGAGGAGACAAAAACGTTTCGTGCGTGGGGCCTTTAATATTGTTTTTGCTTTCCATAGCTATACAAAAGTTAATGACTTCAACAATACATACAATACAACGTAACAAATACCATAATGCCAAATGATTGGTCGCAAATCCAGTGTTTAAGATTCTTTTCAATTGCAATTTTGCGCACACGTCAGGTTTAAGGTCTGTTAGTGTTGTTCCAACGATGGCTAAGATGAGTGTGCATGACAAGAAGATACACAGTTTTTTACAGTCTGTCGGTCTGAATGCATCACGTATCCTTCGGTAAGATTAAAAGTACACGTTTATCCTCTATATACAAAAGGGATTTACAACCATCGTCATCTTTTAAAATAACGCTTTGCGTCATTGACCCTCTTATGTTGTTCTTTATACTCTACAGCAAACTACGTATTCTTAGCACAAATAATGATACATAAACGATCTATAGATAATTTATACAAAGAATTAAGGCAATGATTTTTGAAACAAAATTTTGGAATTATTCTTGAATATTTTTATACGATAATGATTTTAAATTTTAAATTTAAAAAATGAGACGTTCTCAAAAGCAAAATCAAAGATTCTAATTGATCAAAAGTTCAGTTTTCAATCTTGTGAAATATATTAAATTGGAAAAGAGAAGACACATGTGAACTTTATCATTGGATGGAAATATAAGAGAACAAATATGAACTAACAGAAAACAATTGAGTATGAACTTCATTGATACTTTTTGTAACCAATGGAATCTTGAATGTACTGATCAGTCCCCTGTGCACATTTGGCTCTCGTCCCCCAAATGCACTCTTGGGCATCAGTGGCCCCCTTTAAAATGTCATCGGCCATGTTAGGAACCTGTTGTCTCCATTGGGGTGCGCAAGGGTCCTGTCCCTTGAGAGCGTGTGTATAGCGAAGGGCCGACCCTGCGGAGCATATGGATGGTGAAGGTTCGTCCCTCGAGAGCGTGTGATTGGAGAAGGACCGGCCCTTGGCAGCGCGTGGACGGCGAAGGGCCGGCCCTTGCCAGCGTGTAGATGGCAAAGAGCCGGCCTTCGAGAGCGTGTGATTGGAGAAGGGCCGGCCCTTGCCAGAGCGTGGACGGCGAAGGGCCGGCCCTTGAGAGCGTGTGGATGGCAAAGGTTCGTCCCTCGAGAGCGTGTGATTGGAGAAGGGCCGGCCCTTGGCAGCGCGTGGATGGTAAAGAGCCGGCCCTCGAGAGCGTGTGATTGGAGAAGGGCCGGCCCTTGCGAGCGTGTGAATGGGGAAGGGCCGGCCCTTGAGAGCGTGGCGTGGCGTGCGCAGGCGCTGCGGGGCGCGCGCATGGGCGCGGAGGAGGCGGCTGCGTGGGAGCGCCGCGCCTCCTTCTGGCAGTGGTTCCTCTCCATCGTGGGCGGCTCCTGGATGGGCGGCGGCGGCGGCGGCGGCGACGTCCCCGAGCCCACCCTCGTGCCCGCTAAGGACTGCCAGCCCTGCGGTGAGGCGCTGGCCACGCAACAGCACCATGCTGGTCCACTTTATCTACTCAAATGCTACTTTCAAATATCTTTACGTTAAAATTGGGCGAAGATCGATTTGCTAGGAATCATTTTTCTTTTCGAAATAAAAATGGAAATCACGTAATTGAAATATGATGTTCTCCACCAAACTCAATTTTTTAAAGAAAGAAATAATTCACTCTTATATAAGTGTATGTATACTTTCATTTACAATTAGGATAATAATGTAATGCCATAATTTAATGTAAATTATGGCATTACTCCTGTATTATGTCTAATAGAACCAATTGTAAGCGCTAAGTAATAATCGAATAATTGTTTGAATTTTCCTCGCAAAAAAATGTGAAATTTTTGTATTACATTTTCAGTCCTATTTCGAAAGTCAAATACCGATCGTCATATTTTTGTATTTAAAATGTTAGGACTTGAAGAAAACCTTGTATAAAAGTCATCCTCATCAACCTTGTGATTCATCAGAAGCAATGTTTTTTCCTTCTCGGGATCTGGTATTCTTTCTTAAGAACCCTGTTAGTGTCCAGCCTTAACGGAGCTCTCCTGCGCAGAGTGCGGGATGCCCAACAAGAAGAACCGCATCGTGGGCGGGCAGGAGACGCAGGTGAACCAGTACCCGTGGATGGCCAAGCTCTTCTACCGCGGCCGGTTCTACTGCGCCGGCTCCCTCATCAACTCCAAATACGTGCTCACCGCCGCGCACTGCCTGCACGGGTGAGTTGGGCTTCGTTGCTGCGATCATCTTCAGTACTAGTTGCTCGTGTACGCCAGATCACTTCATGCACAGACTGGACATTGGGGGAGTTTTAGATGGAGATTAGGCTTCAAATAGATTGAAGTATTTTCTGCTTCGTGTATTCAGGATTCCAATTCAGTACGTGGATAGTTGCTTGATCTATACTGTGTGTTGGCCCCAAAGTGATTCTTACGAGGCACAATAATTCTAACAAGTTATTCGTTCGTAGCTCCTATTTTTTTACATTTTACGTGAAGAATCTAAGTTTAAAATAACGCCAATTTTCCTCCTTCAATTTCAAAAAATTTGAATTCGTTTCATTGACTACGCTATTAAAAGTCCTGGTTGGATTTCTCGAACTCTAATCGGCAATTCTATTAACACTGAAGACATCTGCCATTTCGTATTTCACTGTTCTCAGAAGCGTTCATGCAGTTTTCAAATCCGGAGTCAGGAGAGTTCTCCGGTAGATTCCGGTAACTCTACTCGGCAATTCTATCAACACTGAATACATCTGCCATTT